CTACTACTACTACTACTGCTACCTCTCTCTCTCTCTCTCTCTCTCTCTCTCTCTCTCAGGCGCAACGGGTGTCCGTGTTGCGTACGGCGAGCTTAGCTCGGCTGCGTGAATGCAGCACGATTGATTAATGCCCACAGAACTAAAGATATGGAAAGCAAACCGCTCCGAAAGAGCGTGCATGCGCAACAGCGGATCCGAGCCTAGGCTCCTGAATCCGCGACTGAAGAAACATTGACCTCCCAGAGATAAGAGTGATCACGATTTGGCTCTGGGAGACAGTCTCACCTGAGTGAATGCAAATCATGCGTTCATGCGCCATACATGTCATTCAGAAAGACTGCTGAGCGATCTGTTAATGAATGCCAACCGGCTGACCTTTCGGACCAAAGGTCCCCTTGTTAGCCTGCGTGAGCGGACGTCCGATGGAGCAGTAAAAGCGATCGACTGTGGCCGCCTGTGCATCCTGAGAGCACAGGTGGTAGCGGAGCCTCGGGTAGTGCTTAGCCATTGGTGGAGCACAGAGAGGCGCGTGGACTTTGCTGTGGGTTGGAATGAGTGCTGCGAACCGGGAAGATGCATAGCAAAAATATCTCAACGAGTATCTTCTTCAAGACGCATATCAAGCCGGGAGAGTGCTATCGGAACTTGATGATCCGAGTGGATACAGTGAACGGCAACCTGCAAGAGGTCAAGGTGAAGCTGCCGGATGAGGTGCGTGGTTGGCTTCTTCTTCGGAAACCAGGCTGGGCCGGAATGCCGAGGCTATGATACTGACTGCGACGCAGGGAAGCTTGAAGCATGACGAGGTGAACCGGGCTGTGAAAGCAGTGTTTCCTCAAGGGCGATGCATGACGGCGGCTACAAGAACCAAAGATGTGTATGCGGCCGAGGACGCGGACCCCGAGGAGATTGAGGAGACGACCGGTGCCGATGAAGAAAACGAGGTGTTCTAGATTGTGGTGGACCAGACACAAGGACAGGAGCACTATGTTCTGGAGACACATCATGATGTTCGCCGGAAAATGCAACAGAAGAAGGTTGGCCGTGGGTTCAAGCCAACAAGCGCTTGCTGGAGTTTGTCTGGAACAGTGAAGGTCGTTTGGAGCAGCTCAAGCAGAAGACAAAGTGCTTCACGTGTCATCAAACTGCGCACTGGCAAAGGGAATGCCCAAAGCGCAAAGGTGGGCCTTCATCCTCGTCCGGGCAGCCGGGAAATACCGAGGATACGATGATTGCCGATGGCGATGTGAAGACGGGTCCTACAGAGGACTGGTTCATCCCGACGAACCAGATCGCGGACTTGGATGTGTGCCTGGTAGAGGGCCGGCAGGGCAATGTTGACGTCGTGGTGGCAAATCGTGATGAGCTTGGGTGCGAAGATGATGTGAGTGCCGCGTTGGGGGACCTTGATAGTGCGCGGCTGATTTTCCAGAGTTTTTGCGATGACAATCCGGATGCCCAGCGAGGCATACATGGCCGAGTGCGGAGAGTCGTTAGGGTACGCTGATCTGTCATATCATGCTGATACGGCCTGTAGGAGGACGCTCATAGGTAAGAGGGTTCTTGAGGGCTTGATTCAAGAGTTAGGCAAGCTGGGTCTTGAGGGTGAAGCAAGTCAGGGAAAAGCATGAGTTCAGATTTCGACAATGCAGGGAAACTGAGCACCAGCCGTGCAGAAGTGATACCTGCTTGTGTAGGGGGAAGACTGGTAGCCCTCAAGGCAGCAGTGCTACCAGGTGCAGGGTCTGGTGTACCACTTCTTCTGTCTAAAGAGTGTCTTAGGGGACTCACGGCTACTTTAGACATGGGTGAGGATGTGTTGTATGTCAAGAAGTTTGGGGTTAGGATTCCTTGAAAGGAGACTGAAAGGGGCCACTACGCTATACCCATTTTGGGTTTCCCGCAGAAAGATCGCAAGTCGAGCAGCAGCGACCCGAAGGGGAATGAGGTCCGTGAGGTCAATGAGGCCAGGTTCGCAGCCACCACGACAGCAAGCAGAGTAGACCGTGAGTCCGGCGAGCATCCGCCTGTGAGTGTGCGGAATGGCGGGCGAGCAGATGGACCATAGTGAGATCGGAACTCCGTGGCGGCCAGATTTGACAGCGACCCCGCTGATGAAGGAGCTCGCGGAGGCTCTCAAGTCGGAGCTCAAGACGAACGCCAAGGTGACGATCCCGTTCAAGATGTTGGACGCTCTCGAGGATCACGACGCCGACGAGCCAGGCGCGCCCGTACACGGGACGGAGCTGATGACGATCGGGAAGTATGCCGAGGCAGGGGTGGTCAAGAGCTTTGCGGCAATCTACGTGGAGGACAAGGGCTACACCCAGTGGATCAGAAAGTTCGTGACGACGACGAAGCCGAACTCAAAGGGCCAGGCACAGACGACACCCATGATGAAGATGCGGCTGTAGATCGCGTGCAGAGACCAGCTGAACAGCCAGCGAGTGAAGTACGAGCAGGCGGTGCCCAGGCTGCCGATCGAGAATCCCATGTACATCGACCCCGCGAAGAGCAAGAACAAGGCATCGAGGGCAAAGATGCAAGCCTCCACTTCCAACGATGGCTATGCGGGCGGGAGATCACGGAGAAGCTGCTTGCCCTGCAGCTCGAGCTCGAGATGTCGGCGAGCCAGGACTGGATCGTCAGTCATGAGAGCCAGCAAAACTGGCATATGAGCGGGGCGGATCCGGATGGCATTTCTTCTGTGCTAACTAGGAGTGAGAAGCAGCTGCGGAGGGTCGGATTGGGGTTGATTGGTGATAGGCCTGGTAAGCTCAGGTTTGTGGTGATGTGAGTACAAAGATCGACCTGCTTGCGCTGTTTCAAGGCTGTGTTGAGCGGAATGGGTAAATGTGGGCCTCACTGCCAGCCATGTTTTGCGGAACGACAGCGAATTTGAAAGACATCAGCGTTTCTTCGGAAGCCAGCCGAAAGCCGAGGTGATCAAGCGATCGCAAGAGGTAAGAGATGAAGCTCAGGATGTTTGTGTGCACCATGCCCCGGCAATTGCGTGACATGTGCGTAGGCAAAGCTAGACGTGAGCACACCTATTGCAAGAGTTCTGCTGAGTTTGCGAGTGCATTAGGCATGTGCCAGGACAGCAGTGGCGGCTTGTTTGCGATTGAATTAGGAGGGCAGCCAATTCAGTACGAAGCCTTCTTGCAGAGAGACGGCGTGACATGTGCGTGCGTGCGTGTGTGCGTGTGTGTGCGCGTGTGTGTGTGTGTGTGTGTGTGAGTGTGTGTGTGTGTGCATGCATGCCAGATTTGCAGACCATGTGGATCACCAAACGTGCTCAGGTGCTGGAGAGAGTGAAGAAAGCGGAGAGTGAGAAGGAAAGCGAAAGTGACATGAAGATGCGAGCTGCTTCGAATGGCTGCTGTGCTTGACTGGAAAAGAGCGAGAGACATGGTCGTCGCCAGCACGTGTGTTCATGCTGTTGAAGATCTCAGGTCAGGTGAGAGTTTAAGCGACGGGCAGATCATGGTGTTTTGAGGAAGTGTCATGAGAATCTTGGTCATCCTTCACGTGCGCGCATGAGCATGTTACTTAAGGCTGTACATGCTTCCAAGAGAGTGCTGAAGCTTGCAAAGGGGCTCACATGTGAGGCTTGTGATGAAGGCACACAATGTTGTCACCAAGATTCGACGGGCTACGGAGTTCAATCAGCAAATGTGCGTGACTTTCGAAATCATGGTGCGGGGAAGCAAGCTGTATTTCCTGAACATCGTGGATGAAGGGACGTCGTATCAGTTGTGTGTTCCGTTGTGGAAGGAAGGAAACAGGTTCGGAATGCGCATCGCAAGGCATGGAAACGATGGGCTGGATCACCAACACGGGTGTTCACTGACGGTGGGCCAGAGTTTGAAGCTGAGCAAGGGGCAAGCCTTGACGGCAGCTTTGGCGATAAAGCTGCAGCCCATGCTCCATGGCAAAACGGGCTTGCAGAACGTCGAGGCGGAGTTTGGCTGCTAGCCTTTCAGAAGGCTTTGTTGGGTATGTCGAGGCTGTTTGCGGGCTGCCCAGACCCACGCGTGCCGTGGGATGGCCGGCCTGTCGAAGCTCTGACAGGATCGGCGGACCCCACGCGCGCGGTGGGATGCCGAGCCTGTGGGATGCTATAGAGGCCTGCCCAGATCCCACGCGTGCGCGACAGGCCCTCATGAACTCTTAGAGGCCTGCACAGGCCCGGCCGACCCCACACGCGCGGGCCCACCCCGCATCCCGACCCCACGCGCGGCGTGGGATGCCAGGCCTGTCGAGGGTTCTGGAGGCCCGGCCGACTCTACGCGTTCGAAGCAGGAAGTACAAGAACTCATCGACAATGTGAACGTTGCGGTAAACGCAATGACTTGACTAGGAAGGGCGTGTGTTCGCCATGTCAGCATGTGTTTGGTCATGAGTTGTGAGGGCCTGGGCTTGTATCCACGGAATACCATCGTCCTGTGATCAACTCAGGGTTGGTGCAGGGTGAGTCCATCTTTGACAAGCGGATGGCCTCAGGACGGCAGCCCGAAAGGCATCCGAGCCGCCCTCGAACATCGCAGGAGGCATGAGAGAGAGGGCCATTTGTGGCCGGGAATCTTGTGTACTTCTGGCAAAAGCACAGATATGAGAATAAACATCATTGGCAAGGGCCGGCGATAGTTGTTGGATCGCAGGGACGTTCGAAGATCTGGATAGCAACAGGAACGAAAGTTTGCCGATGCTGTCCTGAGCAGCTCAGGAAACTATCACCAGATCAAGCAGCGATGATTCGGTTGCTTCCAGCAGATGTTGTGCGTGTTCGGACTGAGGTGAGTGCCAGAGGTGCAGGCACACATGACTTGTCCCAGCAGGAGCGACCTCCAGCAGCATGGAATGTCGATAATGATGTGTCTGATGAGGTGCCAAGGATAGCCGAAGCACCGGCGCATGTTGCTGCTGGTGTGGATGCAGGAGATACGGTGATGGAGGAGGCTGAGCCAGGAGTTGCGAGACAGGAAGGAGCAGAGGAGCTTTTGAGCGTGAGCGTGCAGCCAGCTGTGGACGCAGGAAGTGACTCGCCGAAAAAGACGTTGCGTGTTGACAATGTGGTGATCAAGCTCACTCAAGCCCTGAGTCTTGATGGTGTAAGGGACAAAGGGCCGTAAGGAAGTGGCAATGAGTCAGGTTGGAGCTGACCGACGGTCAAGCCTGCAAAGAGCGAAACCCAAGGAGTGGAAGAAGCTCCTGGACAGCGATGCAATTGTCGTTCACAAAAGAAGGCAGGCCAGGAGATTGTGAGCAGGATGGAAAGAAGTCGAAATTCATGAAATCGCGATTCCTTGTGACTCAGGCGGAAGGTGCGAATCACTTGGACACGTCAGGACTTAAAGCTGGATGGTGTATCAGAGGGTACCTGGATCCCGCCCTTCTTGAGTTGGACACGATTGCACCTACGTTGTCAGCAGAAGGATTTGCTGTGGTGACGCAGTTGATTGCAAGCCAAAGGTTGGAGTTGCAGATTGCCGACGTGGAAGGAGCATTCTTGAGAGGCGACAAGCTGGATGCTTCACGTGGAAGGTTGTTCATTGATATGCCGCGTGGTGGTGTTGAGGGTTATGATGACGACGGCGTGATCGAGGCCATCAAGACGGTGTATGGTCTGGCAGATGCACCTAAGGCCTGGTGAAGAGCTTTAGTGACTTTAGTGTTACGCTAGTCAAGCTCGGCATGCGTGTGTCACACTTCGATCCATGTGTGTTCTGGTACTGCCATGAAGGCAAGATTCCAGGAACCGTGCTACTACTACTACCATTACTACCACGACTACTGCTACTACTGCTACTACTGCTACTACTGCTACTACGACTACCACTACGACTATTACTGCTGCTGGTACGACTACGACGACTACTGCTGCTACTACTACTACTACTACGCCGACTACTACTGCTACTGATTCGACTGCTGTTGTCAGTCAACAGCTACCTCGACTGCTATTGAGAATAACGACATTATTAGCAAGTGTATCGAATGTGGAAGCATGACATGTTTCGGCGGCAGTTCGAGGCATTGCTGAGGCGCAAGAGACAGGTCGTGAGCTGCAGATGCGAGGCAGTGTCGAGAAGGAATTCTTGGAATTCAGGTTTCGGCGCGATTGTGGTTAAGCAACTCTTGGATTTCGACGAGTGGGAGAGATCAGGGGCCGCTCCTAGGCAACATGTGCCACCATCTTTGTTATGAAGACCCCTGGAAAGGGACCCATCTAGTCTGAAACCCAGATCTGAGGCTCTGCGAAGGGCTCCGGCTCTTTGACCACATCCTGGAAGCAGAGATCCACACGGAGCAGGAGACTTGTCCTAGAGGTATCCAATCTAGACATCACTACGACTGGACTTTGTTTTCCTGCTTTGATTGAGGCTTGTTGCTTGAATTCTTGTGGGGCTTACAGGATGGGATTTGGAAGTGCAGCGGAGCCGGCATGCCCCGACGCACCCGTGAAACAGCGCTCATCCCACACTTGTGCGAAGAAAATGGGCTGAACTCGAAGAATGGCTGGGGAAACCACCAACATCAACCGCAGAGACGTCAAACTTGGAATAATCCGAATCACAAAATGCGATCATCTCAACATCCGCCTTCTTCGGGACCTTGTACTTGGGTTTTGGAGCAGGACCCAGCCGTCGGTCACGCATGAAAGGGTCGCATTTGGTTCGCTTCATGTTTAGGCGATCTTTCCACTTCCGTGTAACACCACAGCGCTGTCAAAACACGATGCCTTCATCTGCAGCACCCACTGTCTTCCCAACTTGCTTGTTCCACCATAGAACATGCCCACTCTTGTTATATTTGTTCCTGCAGCTCTTCTTTAAGAGACTCTATACGAGATGTGCTGCAGATTTCCGGGGCCCACAATCCACAGGGTTTGGAGTATCATCGTTTGCGGCCAGAGGGTGTCCCAGGGCCCCACGCGGCTTGGTGAGAGAGCGGGTTCCGGCTTATGAAATCACGACGGTAAGAGTTTTGTCGTTTTTGTGTTGTTGTCGCTGGTTGGGGCTTTTGCGTCGGTTTTGGACGTGTGGAGTCCAGGGCCCTGGAAACCTGAAGAAGCTCCTCCGAGCTGGCCTCATTATGACGGGATGCAGTAGTTTAGGGGCCTGACGGTGGAAAACGTATCGTTCTGGAGCTTTTCGATGGAAACTCCGGGTTCAGGCTTGAAGCCCTGGACCCTACACCCCAATATTCAAGACTGCCTGAGGCTTGTGTGAAAACACCAACCGCTACTCCCTCATCTATCAATGCTTGGAGCTGTTCTGGCCCGACCTAGGCTAGGTGGGGGTTTGTACAAAGCATTCGGCGGATTACGGATTTTGGGTATATGGCGCTGAAAGGTTCGGCCTCGACTTGTGTGGAACCTTTTTAATCCCCAAACCTTAACAACCACCATAGATGCCACAACAACTCTGGAAACCTCGACAAGGACTCCGCTCATTGCTTCTTGTACATACAAAAACCTTTCAATCCCCAGGTCTTCAAACAACACCAAATCTTACTTGTTCAGCTTATGGAGACAGAACCTGCGTGTTGCACCTGCACCGGAACGCTAAACCCTGATTCGAGCCGTCCTACCCCGTGTCAGGAGACTGCGACGGTCATGCAGCAAATGATTGCGTCAGCACCTGAGTTTTCAGGTTTAGAGTTTTCGGTTGCACCTGGAACGACGAATTTGCTGTGACCGATCTGTTTAGATTTCCTGCCACCTCGTACCCCAGACCCTATCCTCCCAGTCGAGCGTCGAATAGCTGCAAATCTTACACTCTGAAACCTCATGACACGTGCCCGAAGTCTGACATCCATTCCGCAAGCCCATCCAGAATCCATAATATTTGCTCGTGCCGCATCTACATGTCCTATTCAACCTATTCGTTCCCCCGCAGGCCTTGTACCACTTCAGGTTTTTGCATCATATCACTGCCATCGGTTGTGTCAAAGTCTTGTTCGTTGCAGCCCAATTGTACCACAACATGCGCTCAAAGCCTTGTTGTAATCCATTAGGGCGACACCGTGAGACTACTCACCAAAGGTTTTCCAGAGCTGCCTTTCCCTGCACCAATGGGTGAGGATGCGCATGGATTATGCTTCCATGTTGTGATGTTGACGACGATGATGAGGACGCTGACGTTGAATTTGTCATTCTCCTGTCATGATTGTGCGAAAAACAGAACAGTACTGGTAATGATATTTGTTGTTCTTGCAACGCTTCTTCTTAGCTTGTGGAGGCTATTGTTGCCATGATCGCAGTTACAATCGCTACCAGCTACCATTGCCATCATCAGATATCTGGTGTTGTAATATTATCAACATCCTTATTCGAATATACTTCTGTCTGCTTGTTGATGAGTACTATGGGTATTATATACAACTTACTCATGCCATCCGCTCATTTGGTTTCTTTTGTCTCCACGACTGAAACAATTTGTGTTCAAATGGTGGCTTATGTGCCTATGCATCTTCAGTTGTCCGTAGTCAGTTTTATAGTGTTCTTCTTCTTGTTGTTGTTGTTGTTGCTGCTGCTGTTAAGGCGGCTGCTGCTGTTGCTGTTGTTGCTGTTGTTGCTGTTGTTGCTGTTGTTGCTGTTGCTGTTGCTGAAGTGACAGGACAGAAGTACTGCCACAGCACAGAACCTGCAGTCCCGAGGGACCGGGGCAGAGGCTGGTGCTGTGCTTAGGCACGGCCAGCAAGAAGCTTTCATGGCAGAGCCAGATATGCTAGGCGCAACACATAAAGTCGAAGGAGTAACGCCTTGCAAGACGATGCTCCCTTTTTGAACACGAAACAAATCCGGATATCGACGAGAAGACGTCAATAAGCCTTCCCAAGTAGGTCAGACGCTCGCCAAGCGAGGAAGTGTTTCACACCCGCAAGAGACATCTTCCGGTGCGAGTATGCGGTTGCTGTTGCTGTTGCTGTTGCTGTTGCTGTTGTTGTTGTTGTTGTCGTTGTTGTTGTCGTCGGGGTTGTTGTCGCCTGCTTATGGCCGACATTGTCTTTGGGTAGGTCCCAACATCTAGCCACTGCCCCGCAGGGCCGTGGAGTACATGCACAGCCAGATGATTTGCCACCGGGACATCAAGCCCGAGCATGTGCCGTGGGGGATTCCAACGGCTTGGGGTGTGAAGTTCGAAGTGTGGGATTTGCAGCCTCGGGCCTTGGACACTGACCCCTAAACAAGAAGTTGGAACTGAGCGCTGAACGACCGAAAGCTAATCCTCCAGGTGCTGCTCAGGCAGAAAGGGAGCCTCCTTGATTGCCTTGTGAAGGCACGCCGTCTTTTCGTCAAACAAGCAGAAGTACTGCAGCACTGGGCGGATTTAGGTGGATATGGGGTGAGAGTATGATCAAACACAGCGGTGGTACCTGTAATCATGTGTGTGTGTGGTGATGCTGGTAGGAATCGGCGCAATATATACCAAGTAGTATTTGCTCCTGACAGTTGACGCACAACAGTAGTCAAGGTCTCTGTGTGATGGAAGATACCATTTCTCAACGATGTTGCGGAGCACGTTCCAGCAGTAGCAAAACCTCCAAGCTCTAAGCCCGCAGCCCTGCAAACCCGAAGGCCCTCAACCCGAATCCGTAAAGCCTTAAATCCGAAAGCTGATCGCCTGCAGCTCATTGACTTCACAACCGCAGTGGAGTTCGGTGCCCCGGGACAGGCGCAGAGCTATCTGCAGTTGTTCTGAGGTTGAGGTATTAGGGTTTGGGTATTAGGTGGTAGGTAGGGGTTTAGGTGTTTCAAGGGTTTAGGGCCCAGCACGTCAAACCTCAAACTCCAAAATGCATGAATCCCTAAACCCATGGAGTCGTGAAGCCCTACATAAGCCCAATTCGTTATGAAGCGGACTTTTTAAGAACAGACCACAACTTAGGATAGCCCCACGTAGAAGCACATCCAAAATCCTCAGATTTTCAACGAGCGTGCCGGGACTCCCTACTACTGCTCTCCCCAAGCGGCGGCCTCAGATTGGCGAAGGAGGTCGTATACAGTCGGCGTGAGGTTTTAGGAGTCTAGGAATGCAGGGTTTCGGGCTTGCGGTCACTCTTTGTCGGCTTGGGGATGGCTTGGTTTCAGACATGTTTCAGATGTCTTTAGCTCCGGTGTTGAAGCTGCAGGCGCGAGACCGGTTGATGTACTTACTGCTCCCACTGCTGCAGCAACAACAGCAACTGCTGCTGCTGCTACTACTTCCGCCCTCACAGTCTAAACCCTGACCCCTTAACCCCAAATCCCTGGAATCCCGAATCTCCTGCCTTCTGCCTAAACCGCAAACCCTGAGCCCAGAACCCGTTGACCGCATGCCTGTGCTTTGAAACAACCCCTGCACCATGCAATGGCGAACTAAAGCGCTGAAGATTAACACTAGCAGTATCACTAGGCTAACGAAAAACTCAACAACAACAATAACAACACCAACACTGACCCTAACACTAATACTGATGCTAGTACTACGGTTGATGTTATAAATCCTGCGTTACCCATAATAAGGAATATACCGTGATTCCCACGACCACGACACTACCACTAGCTGTACCACTACAACTGCCACTGCCACTACCACTACCACGACCACTGCCAC